CCCCGCCCCCTCGGCCGCGCGCCCGCCCCGGGGCGGAGACGCGCAGGGGCCGGCGCGCGGCCGCGGGGCCCGGGCGCCATCTTGGATTCTGCAACTGGGCCGAGGCTTCGGGGCTCGCTGCTTGTCGGCTGCCGCTCGCCGAGGGCGTCCGGGGCGGCGACGAGGAGGTGCCGAGGCGAGGGACGCGGACTGCGCGGGACAGAGGAGGGACGCTTCCCCCCTGGGCAGCCGGAGCCGCCAAGGTGGAGCCGCGTCGGCGCCCGCCGCGGGACCAGCGTCTCGGATGCGGGCGGAGCGCGGGGGGCCGCGACGGCGGGAGCGCGGAGACGGGGTCCCGGGAGGCCTCATGTGAGAGCCGCGGGAGCCGCCGCCGCCCGCGCAGCCCGGGGTGGTGTGTGGGGGAAGCCGCCCCCGGCAGCAGGTACGGCGGAGGTTCGGGGCCGCAGCCCCGAGTCGGGCGGGGAGGTCGGCGGCGGCCGGGGGCGCGCGCGGGCCGCGACGGGGACGCCCCGCCCGGGCCTCGGGCCGTGTCAACAAGGCGTGGTGCGCGCTCGGCGGCCGCGTGTGGCGGGGCGCGGGTGCGGGCGGCCGGAAAACCCGGGGCGAGGCGTCGGGGACAGCCCAGGGAGGCGGCGGCCCCGCGCCGAGCGGAAAACTTGGAGAAGTTCGGTGCACCCGCCGGGGCCGCGCCGCAGCCCGCACCCGGAAGCAGCCGGGTCGGCTCCCCCGAGCCCAGAGGTGAGAGCGGGAGGCGCTTTGTTGCTAAGGGCGCCTCTCCCAGCGGCCCACATATTGTCATTGCCGTTTTCTTACACGCAGAAGGTAGATTTAAAATGTCTGTAACTCAAAACTCTAACCTCCGGGGGATCGGTATGTCTGTCTGTCTAACCCTTGGTTATCTGTATATCCGCTGTGCTCCTACCATTCTGAGAATTCATCTCCTTCATATTGGCATATGCAAATGTCATGCCGCTGGGGTTTCAATTGCTGCATGCCCAATATATGTAAATGTCTAAGACAGAAAGGAAAAGGTTCGATAAGCTTCCTAATCCCTGGTGCTGCTCAGCTAGTTAGTAGGCCTCCTTCACTAGTTTGCTTCTTGGATACTTGATAGAAATACTAGCAAAAGTTCCTGCCACCGTAGTTGTTTCTCTGGGTTCCTGAAACACTGCAACAAAACTTCAAGAGCCCAGGATTTCTGTGCTTAGAACATCTCATTGGTATTTATCGTCCTATTTTGATACGCCACGCCACTCCTGTTCAGATGTGAAAGGCACTTTGATTAGAAGCATTGTAAACCCATTGCTTCCAAGCAGTTGTGTACTAGTGAATGCTGTGAATTGTTCAGCTTTATATGGCAGAGCTTCATGTGTAGATTGTTAAAATAAAAAAGCACTGGCAGTTTTGAATTTAAAAGACCAACTTGGAAAAAATGGCATTTAAAAACTTTACTAGGTGTTTATTGACTAATGTTATTTTCACATCTAATAGTACATAGCACTTTTTAGCATTTGGCCTTTTGTTTTTCTATTGCTTCATAATGATAGAGGCATTAATTTCATAAGGCCTGTGATAGTCCATAGACTTTAGCTATTCATAAACTACTAAGTACTTAATATATACCTTGGTAATCCATGTATTCAGTTTATATTTAGATCAAGAGTATACTGTTCCTTAGTGTTGGATAATTTTATATTGTCATCTCCTACTCCTCCCAAACTTGGCGCTGTATTGAAACACTCTTCATTTAGAATTAGGACTGTTGAGAGGCAGAAACAGTATGCTCTCTGATTTCCAGGCCCTCCAGGCTCACATAGTGAGACCCTGTGTCAAATAAAAATTGTATAAGCTTAGGATCAGCAGAATCGTTAAAATTATTGTGAGTGAAGCTTCCATTCTTCTTAGTTTTGTTTTTGAATCTGTATACTTGACTGTAGAAAGGACTGTTTCATCTTTTTGTTGTGGCTTTCAGAGATTTCTCCAGAAGTAGTGGAGCAGCCTATAAGGTTTGGAAATAGAAAGACTGGCTCATTCATTTTTTAATCTCTGCATCTCAGAATTCTGTGTAGTTTTTGGCAATAAGAAATTCTTAAGTCCTTGGTAGCAGACCCTTAGTTATTTGACCCAAATTGAAATGCTAAAATTAAAGTTAAACCTTCAGGATAAGTTAAAGTTGGAAAATGGGTCATAATGACAGGCTAACCTCTAGTAGGACATTTTTATTAGAAAAGTTTTTTTTTTTAACTTTAAAAGATGGCACTGTCAATTATTCTAACTTTTCTCTGAACACACATGACAAATCTGTTCATAGATTCATAAGTAAGTTTGAATCTTCCATAAAGCCATCTTGTTGTACCTCTGTCACTCATTTTCTGGATTATCCTACAAGAATATGTCCTTCTGTGTGTGTGCATCTATAGACAGTCAGATGTAGGAACAACGGAGAACAAACAGTTCCTCTGTCAATGTCTCCTGGGTTGGCATGACAGAGGTCTGTGCCTTCTGTCATCCTGTTTCTCCTCTCCAGCCCTCAGCTCTTCCTATGCCAGCTACTAGAGGAGAAAGCCTGTGCAGGTGCACACCCTTCATTACACGGAGGAGTCAGAGATTCTTACATGCTGATTTGTCACAAGTTAGTTGGAGTCACAAGCCATCCTTTTGAGTCTGTTTGGATCAGTGCCTTACCAGAATTGCTCTCTAGAAACAAAAGCATTGTAGGTCCTAGACGAAATAATACTACCAAGGAGTGGTCCAGAATAGTGTAGAGTGCAGTGTACTTAGTCAAGGGAGACATGAAACTGTCCTTTGAAACTTTGATTACATTTTAATGAATAGAAATAATTGTGTACAATGTGGAAAGGAAGAAGAGCACAATGGGAAAAAAAGACTCAGACATCTGTAATCCCACTGCCTCTAGTTAGCTGATACACTAAGTTAGTGGTGCTCATGCCAGTGTGTTTCTCCGTGCCACCACTGCCCCTCCCCTTCTTTGAAAGAAAAATTAAATTGTTCTCCACCTTCTGGGGACAATCACTCTTTTCTACCAAGTTGTGTGATGGTTTTTATACTGGGCTGCTTTTCTAAAGAGATCAATTGGCTCTGCTTTCAAGGGCCCTAACACAGGGTTCTCTCAGGAGAACCCTGTATCTTAAGATCTCTGTTTGCAAACTGAAGCATCTGACAGCCTTGTAATTTACCCACAGTCATGGAGCTAGAAAGAAGTGTGGCTAGAAATCAAACCCAGAGAACTTGGGCTTAGAGTTTATGGTACCATTTGCCATGAACAGATCATCTTCCCAAGAAGCAAATGGAGGGAAGTGGGTAAGAATATGTAGACAAAACATAGAGGTATCATTGAGGAAAACACAGGATAAGCAGAGTGATGGTGACGTATTGAGAAGAAACCACATTCCAGCCAAAACGACCCATAGTCAGGTAGATTGCTTCAAATAATTAATCTTTGTGTGCTGCAGGTTGAACATGGGCCTGGAGTATTTAAGGTGAGGGTGTTAACATGGGGCTGTACTCTCAGTCCAGGGTTACTCACGTTAAGCAGAGGTTGAATATGTGTAGCAGTAATATCACACGTCACAGGCTGTTATTGATCTTAGCTTTTATTCTCTCTGGAGTCGAGAGGTTCATGGGGACATTACTTCAAACTTGACTGAAAAATTGAAAAGTATTACTGTAGTTACTTTAGTTACTTTTTGTACTTTAAGTAGTTGACTGCAAGTCTTGAGTTATAAATTTATGGTTTACTTAAATTATAAGTAGTGCTTAAATGTGAATGTTTAAAATCATCTCAGGAATGTTCATCACCATAGCTTTTTTCATTGTATCTTTCTATTCCTGAATTGTTGGTTCAGCTCTTTGTGCATATTTCTTTTTAACTGTCCAAATACAAACACATGTCTTAGTGACAGAAAATGAATTTGTGATGAAAAGTTCAGAAGGATGGGGAAAAAATGATGGTTCTTTCTACATAGGATGAAACGAGGAGGAAGAGATAGTGACCGTGACTCACCTGAAGAAGGCACTGCAGAGGAACCTAAGAAACTGAGGACTACACATGAGTGTTCTCAGCCTTGTGACTGGGGTAACCTCTTGCAGGACATTGTCCTCCAAGTGTTCAAGTATTTGCCTCTCCTGGACCGGGCTCATGCTTCACAAGTCTGCCGGAATTGGAATCAGGTGTTTCACATGCCTGACTTGTGGAGGTGTTTTGAATTTGAACTGAATCAGCCAGCTACATCTTACTTGAAAGCTACACATCCAGAGCTAATCAAACAGATTATTAAAAGGCATTCAAATCATCTACAGTATGTCAGCTTCAAGGTAATACCTTAACTCCGTCTGTTAATTAAAAGCATTTTAGTTAATGTCCTAAACAATAAAACTTCTTATGTCTTTAAAATATTTGTCTTTTAGGGAGAATGCTTAAAGTTTTTAAATCATTGCATGCCTTAGAAATTATTGGAAGTAATTTTTAATATTTCCTGGAACTTAAATACTGTTTTACAATTAATTTCTTAAAAGAACAAAAGCAGCCACGAAGTAGGCATAAATAATTAACTAAAGCTTTAAGTTAATGGTGAATGGTTGGCAAAAAATTTGAGGAAAGAAATGTACAACAAACATTAGGGCACTGGTTCTCAACTTGTGGGTTGCAACCCTTTGGAGGTCACGTCAGATATTTACATTACGATTCATAACAGTATCAAAAATACAGTTAGAAAGTACCAATGAAATAATTTTTGGTTGGGCGTCACCACAATATGAGGAACTGTTTTAAAGGGTCACAGCATTAGGATGGTTGAGAAACACTTTTTTTGTTTGTTTTGAAGGAGGTTGTTTAGTTGGTTTGGTTTTTTGTTTTTTTGAGACAGAGTTTTGCTATGTAGTCCTGGCTGTCCTGGAACTCTATAGAGAGATTTCCTGCATCTGTCTCCCAAGTGCTGGCATTAAAGGTGGGCACCACCACTGCCAGGAAGTGTTGCTTGTTTTGATGCATTTTTATTTAAAGAAAAAAAAAAAACACTTAAGTCTAAAGATGGTATAGAAACTGAATAGTTTGAGTACATTTTAGAGGGAAACAGAAGAGGAGTCATAGAAAAAATGCAAGAGCTGTTTGCTTTGTTTCAGTGTTACAAGGGACATCTAAGATTCACTTAATGGTGAGATAAATGAAGGAAGGCAATATTTTGAGATTTGAAGAGTATTAAATGAAATCACAGTAGCTTATGGGAAAAACAAAGTTTCATCAGGTTGTATTTTTGAAGATGAATTAAGAAATATGGGATGCTTGCTGAATCCTTAACCCTAAATTTTTTTACCCTAAAAAATGTAATTACTGTTAAAAGAGGAAAATGTGCCAAACATAGTGATTCACTCATGTAACTCTAGGACTCAGGAGTTTGAGCAGAAGAATCAACGGTTTGAGGCCTTCCTGCCCTATATATATATTAAAGCCTTCTAGCTTAAAAGTACTAAAAGCAAAACCCAGAAAGCTATAGTAAAAGCACAAGAATTGCCTGGTTTGCCTCTCTTTCCTGTTTGCTAAAGGGTTAAGTCAGCACTAAGCAGAGTTCCTAACCTGACCTGCATCCCATCACTACATGCTGTCTTTCTTAAAAGGTAGGAGAGCGTGGTGGTAATTAATATGCCTGATGGAATAGATTATGGTCATAGAAGTACTAGGTTATTAGGAATAGGATTACTAATTACAGCTAAACAGAAAAGAAACATCAGGACACCTGTTGTGACCAGCCTGGATTACACAGTAAGATCAAGGCTAGCCAGAGATATTTACCAGGACTCTATTTCTGGTAAATAGGAAGAGGAAGATGCCTAGTTAATTTTGAGTTTACTAGATTACAGTGATAACTTTTAGTATAGGTGCATCCCAGACACACTTATTCATTCAAGATTTTTGTTTGTTTGTTTACCTGAAAGGCTGTGTTATTTGTTTGATAAGGGGTAGCATTCAAGCAAACCAAAGCTGAAGTCCTCACTGCCCATTCAGGGAGGAAACTTGAAGTGCTTTCTGTTGGGTTTTAGTCATCTTTGAGTTGCCTTAGAGTGTTCTAATGGCAAATACTATAGAAGGAGGAGATTGTAAAGCTCATTTCTATACAGTAGGTTGGCTGTGTCCTTGGTGTTCTGTTACAATCCTGTGACACAATTGAGGTGTATGATATAACTCATAAAACCATTTGTGCTTAAGTTTAATATTTTTGTTAGAGATTTATTTGTGTGAGGAAGTAGTTTCTAATTTAGAAAGCAAGCACATTGCAAGGATTATTCTGGCCTTTCCTGATAATATTTAAGTGGTCAGTATGGGCTGAAGGAACTTTTAGTCAGATTTATTAGTCTAGAAGACTGCTTTTCAAACTGCTCAGTAGACTCACCAAGGGGAGTGTCAAGGCAGAGCTTGCTCGGTTTTACTCACAAAGTTTCTTACTTACATGGTTTGGTTTGGGCCTAACAGTTTGCTTGTCTTCAGTACTCACATGCTTTTATGTTGTCCGGGAACCACTGTTAGTGCATTTATTTCACACAGTGTAAGATTTAAGATCTCACTTGGGATTCAGAAAAACACAAATTTGGGAATGAAAGTAATGGTGTTACAGTTTAACCTTTTTAGTCTAGAGGAAACAAACTCTTCCCCTTCCATGGTGTTTGGTCATGTAATTCTTTTTTGCAGGAAATGTCTTAAGCATGAAATGTCTAAGGGCAGCTGTCTCTATTTTGTTTTTGTTGTTGTTTGTGTGTGTGTGTGTGTGTGTGTGTGTGTGTGTGCGTGTGCGTGCGCTTGTTTAGTTGGACACCCTTATTTAATGCTATGTTTAAACATTGAAGAATTTCAGGTTGTGTGGTTCATCTGAAAATTCTAAACAAATAGACATTAGTTTCTTCTGGTGCCCTCAAAGAGTTCATCATAGATACTTTGTTTACATGTATTGTTTGATTTAACCAATACAAAATTTATTGATTTTGTACAGTTACTTTGAAATTAACCAATTTTTTTCTTTCCGCACTGAATCCATAGATGCACATATGTATTAGGATGAACTCTGTTGGGAAAATTAGACTGAGGTTGTAAGGATGATTTGAACACGAATATTCTTCAAATGATAATGCACTAACTTAGTAACTGTACTTTTTGCTTTTATAAAATTAAGATATTCAAAGAGAAATCTAAATATATACATAAGATGTGTTTTTTTTTTTTTTCCTAAGGTGGACAGCAGCAAAGAGTCAGCTGAAGCAGCTTGTGATATATTATCACAGCTTGTGAATTGCTCTTTAAAAACACTTGGACTTATTTCAACTGCTCGGCCAAGCTTTATGGATCTACCAAAGGTATCTGCTGGTTTTGTTTATCCCTCTTGCAGAGGAATCCATGAAAGCCCCAGCATTGTTAGTGTTGACAGTGAGAGCAAAGCAGTGTATGTCATGGAGATCTGGTTGTTGTTTAAAGTGTTAAAAAATAGTATTTAGAGTAGAATTTTAAGGAGTTTTAAAATTTTTTCTTGTGTATGAGTATTCTATTTGCATGTAAGTATGTGTGCCTCATGTGTGTCGATGCCTGCAGAGGCCAGAAGAAGGTGTCATATTCCCCCGGAATTGGGGTTACAGGCAGTTAGGAGTTGCTATGCGGGTTCTGTACCCAAACCTGGGTCCTCTGCAAGAGCAACAACTACTTTTAACTGCTGAGCCATCTCTTCAGCAATAGTAAAATATGCTGTTAAGCATTACCTTGTTCTTCATTGGTAATGTTAAAGAATAAGTGGATTTATAGATGACTGTCTAGGTAGTGGAAGTGCTAAAAGAAATAGGTGAAACTAAGACTAACCATATCAGAAAAGGGGGTACTGTAAACAGTTCTTTCTGAGCTTTCAGAACAGGTTGTTGAAATTAAAAGTCAAAGGTAAAGAATGCCAGTATTGAGCAAGCATAGTCTGCTTATATAAGTGCTTCTGACAAATGTACTAAAAAGAATATTTTTGAGCAAAGTTAATGTCAGTATAGCTTGGATTATCTTACAGATTCTATTTCAAACCATTCTTATGAGGATTTAACTGTGTTAGTCTATACCTAATTACAGAACAGTCTGCCGTACAACTCCTTTTTTTTTTTTTTTTTTTTTTTTTAAACATTTAGTTAGTAGGTGTGTACATGTGTGGAGGTCAGTTCTCTCCTTCTACCATGTGGGTTCCAGGGTTTGAACTTGGCTTGTAAGGCTTGGTATGAGCCATCTTACCAGCCCACAACTGTTCTCTCTGAAACAGAAAATAATATGTGGGTGTGTGTTGCTGAGGATCACAACTATGACTTTGCAAGTGTCCTAATCACTGAGCTGCATTCTGCACACTAGCTAACAGCAATTTGAATAAAGAATTTTTTTAGGTATGCCTCAAAGTAAAATATGTAGGTTAAAAAAAAAACAATCTTTGTTTAATTGCATGTGTATAAGTGTTTTTGCCTGCATGTAGGTATGTGCACCATGTATGTGCCTGGTACCCATTGGAGGCCAGAAGAGCACATTGGACCCCTAGAACTGGAGTTTCAGACAGTTGTGAGCTGCCATGTGGGAGCTGGGAACTGAACCTGGGTCCTCTGGAAGAGCGTCCAGTGTTCTTACCTGATGGGCCATTTCTCCAGTGCTAAAATGTGTAGACTCACCTCATAATTAACTTTACTAGAGTGACTCAGGCAAGGATATTGAGTGTGAATTATAACTAGTAGGTAATTGTTCTAGTTTAAAAACAGGGCCAAATAAAATACTAAGTACAAAACCTCTATTTGATTTAAGTTTCATTACTTTTGTACATTTTGAGATAGAATGTTTTCTCATGAGTGAAGAAGAAAAATGGAGAAGAAAATCTGTTTAACATTTTAAGACTCTGAAGTACCTGAGTCAAGTCACCATGACTTTTAGATCTGCCTGTGCACAGATTTGGACTCTTACTCCTGAGGCCAAGACTCCTGCAGACAGTCCAGAGGATTGCAGTTAAGAGGGCTGTTCAAGACCTCATTCTAAGAAACTTAGGTACACAATGTAGGGCCATCTTCTTCAAGCCTCCTGGGAAGTGAAATTCTCCGATTGGTATTTTATGTGCCTGTCATCTTTAAAATGTATTTATATATGATATATACAAGAGAGAATAAACTGTTATAAAGCATGTTGAACGTAATTTGATTTGTATCATCTAGGGCATTACATTACATTGTATCAGTTTACATGTATGTAATGCCAATTTAAGAACTATTGATGTAGCTGGGACTGCCTTAGATGCATCTTGTCCTTTTGGGGTTTTTTGTGTTTTGTTTGCTTGTTTATTTGGTCTTTTTGTTGTTACTGTTTTGTAGAAAAGATTGAAATAAGGTATTTCTGTATTTTGGCTGACTTTAACAGAATAGAAAGTAGAAGAAATCTATGTGACCATAGCTAAATCAGGACAATGAAGAAACAGGTTAGCATGTAGTCATGGGCTTACTAATAAAGAACTGTGATCATGGAAGATACACAGTTGTTTGATTTGAAGATATTATGTTAATGCATAGTTGTTTAATCACAATTTCAGAAATCAGTTGTTTAGACCTAGTAAATAAAAAGCAAGTTAAGGAATGTGACCAAGGAGATAGTATTTCCTTATACTTCATTGTCTATTAGCGTGGCTTCATCCTCTGACACTGCTGTAGAGAATTTATAAAAATAGGTGCAGGGTGCTGTTGGTTCTATAGACATGTGCTAAAGCATATATAGGCCTTTCTTCCCTGAATTATTTGCCCATTGATTAGAGCTTATCTCAGCTCTGATTCAAAGTCACATGCTTTAAATATGCTGTTATTCTTGTTTCCATAGAATTTCTTTTGATCAGATCCAGTATATTACTTATAAGTAAAATACAATAAGATCAAGTCTTGAGAATCTTTTAGATACAGTGTTTTGAGAGGATTTTAAATTTGGGATTTTTAAGTGATTCTGGTTGTTTTGAAATCTTTGTATGTGCTTCCGTTGTCCAGTTTGAGTTATAGCCTTTGAGTTGATTGATTTAAATCTTGATTGTGCCAGTAGTTCCTTTGTTGATGCTCTTCCTGTGTGGTGCATTGTATAGGATACTAGCTTCCAAATATGATGAGGGGTTTGAAAGAGACTTTTAGGCTGGGTTCCAGGGTTCCTCTTTGATCACTGAGGTTGCTGTGATTTAGAAATACGCTGAGGCTTGAAGTGACATTTTCTTCCACAGGTACAAACAAAATGCTTTTCTCAGAGATGTAGAAGTAGTCCCCTCTTTAACTGTATGGCGGGGGTGGCAGGGTGCTGCCTTTTAACAGTTTTGAAATTCCTCATTAGGGTGCAGACAGACATAGCTAACCTGTAAGGAAACCTTGTGAAATGTCATTTCTGAAGAACTGAAACAGTGTTGTAATCTTTTGTCTTTCAGTCTCACTTTATCTCTGCACTGACAGTTGTGTTTGTAAACTCCAAATCCCTGTCCTCACTTAAGATAGATGACACCCCGGTAGATGATCCATCCCTTAAAGTGCTAGTGGCCAACAACAGTGACACACTCAAGCTGCTAAAAATGAGCAGCTGTCCTCATGTCTCTCCAGCAGGTATGTCATGTTTTTACCAGACATATTTTAGTAAACTATATTGTTTCTCAAACTAAGAAGTTGTTTAATAGTTTTGTTAATGAACTTGTAAACAAATTAACAAAACCATTTCTTTTGCATAAAAATATTCAGTGTCCTAATAGCAGTAGCATAGTATCTGCAGTATTGTAGCTTAGACTGACTTTCATTCTATTTTCTAGTCATTTTATGTGGTAAATTGAGTATAGTGTGTGCTTGAAAATGGATAAATAACATGAGAAAAGGTTTATTAGTTACTCATTGCTGGGGCAGAATTTCTGGCAAAAGCAGCTTAAGGCAAAGCATCTCTTTTGGCTCACAGTTAGAGGGCACTAGTCAATATGGTTGGGAAGGTACCATGTAGGAACATGAGGTAGCTGGTCTCATTGCATTATCTACAGTGTAAAAGCATGGGTAAAGTAAGCCCAGCTATAAAACCTCAGGCCTTACCCCAGTGACTCATTTCCTTCAACCAGGCTCCACTCCTCTAAAAGTTTCACATCCTTCTAAAGCAATACTAACAGCTGGGACCAAATATTCCAACATACATTTATGAGAGACATTTCACATTCAAACAACAAGGCAACATTGTAAGGTCTGCTTAAAGAACATCTTGAGATAGATAAAAAAGAATTCTGCTAACTTCAATTGAGCTACAGGTGTTTTGGGTCAGAGTAGTCACAGTTACTTCTCACATAGAGGAGAAAAGATGTATTTAAGCATGGTTGCCTTTTTGAGAGAGAATGCTCTTTAAAACTTAAATTTTAGAAATAACATTATAAGAGGTCATTTTTTTTTTAATGTAGAATTTTCTAAGTAGTAGTGTGTTGTCCAGTTTGAGGTTACTTAAATTACAAGTGATTTGTACTGAAAAGTAAATATAAACATGATTTTCATACTCCTGTTGATGCTTCATTGTAGGTTCCTCCACTTTTGAAGTCCCTCCCTGTCTTTAGCTGTGATGTTCAGCCTCGTCTTTTAGTTTTCATTTTCTTGCTGTAACAAAGGGTTGACAAATGACTCAGTGTTGACAACACTTTGGTGGTTCTCCCACATTGCCCACAGGAGGGTCTAGGTGATCCTACTGTTGTGTTTATCTATTTGTCTCAGCCTCCTCTAGATAATCACTAAAGCTAAGATGAGACTAAATAGACTTTGGCAGTTACTTCCTATGTGACCTTGATCACATTTTATTGTCTGCTGTGAGTGAGATCTCTCTTCCATAGCTTCATGGTGTACAAGGTTCTTTGTTTCCTAACCAACATGATCTTTTTTGTTCTTCACTCACTGTCCTGTGAACTGTGAGCCTCTTTGTTTTGACCTTCTAGTGTGGTCAGTACACTATGCCTTGTGAAAAATTTAAAACTTTTACCCTACTCATCAATACAACAGCATTATAAAACTTTTATTGAAAAAGAATTTATAAGCATGGTGTGGTGGCACACACCTTTAATCCCAGCACTCAGGAGACAGAGGCAGGCAGATCTCTGAGTTCAAGGCCAGCCTGGTATACCAAGCAAGGTCCAGGACAGCCAGGTAAAATAGAATTTTCTTTGAGTCCACCAGTGGGTGAAATAATGACACAGAGACCTTTTCCCTGCTCCTCCTCTTCCTTTCTGTCTGTCTGGTGACCACTTGAGCCCGACATTTCTTCCCAGAGTCCCCCTCTCTGCTGGAAGTCCTGCCTCCCTCTCTTGCCTTAGCTCTTTATTTAACTAATCAGAAGCTGAAGGAAGTGTATATCTACAAAACATTGAGGCAGGTGATGCTTAACAGTCCTACAGTGTGGTCTGTACTCTGATCTCCGCTGGCACAGAAATCAGCGTTTGAATACGCAGGGACAGTCATTACATGCTACACAAAAACATCACTCCAATGGCCGAGGCTGTTACACAGAAAAACCCTGTCTCAAAAAAACAAAAGAAAAATAATGTTTGAACCATATAATTCACACATAGTTCATGTAAAATAGATGCTTTATTGGCTTTTAATGTGCTGACAAGGTAGTGTCTACATCATCATCATTATGAATCTTAGAACACTGTCATTGTGACCAAAAGGAAGTATGGCTACCACACCCTAAAAACCAATTACCCTATCCTCCCCAGTTCTAAGCAACCACTATTGCGTTTTTGGTCTATGCAGTTTGTCTGTACTGGGTAATTCCTGTAACCTGGAATTTTATTGTGTGTGTGGGGGTGGGGTGGGGGTGGTGTGGTGTGTCTGGTTTCTGTTACTTAGCATGTTTTCAAGGTTGTTTGTGCTATCTAATATATTAGAATTTCATTCCTTTTTGTTGCTGTAGAATATCCGTTATATTTAGAATACATTTGTTGATCAGTTAGTGGGTATTTGGTCTGTTTTCTACCTTTTGAGTATAACAGATAATGCTTATGTGGAGATTCATGTAGTTTCTGTATGGACATATTGGTTCTCTTGGTGTATAGCTAACAATAGGGCTACTAAGTCCTATAGTAGCTATTTTCCCACTTTGAGGAACTGTGTTACATGTCACACACTGGCTCCAGGATACTTAGGTTACCAGGGCAACAAGAAGTGGCAAGTCATTAAACAAAGATGTAGTCTGGAAGTTCCAAGCAAAGATGTTAGGATTTCTTTAGAACAAAAATGGCTAAACCCAAAACGATGAAGGTAGAGAATTGCCAGTGTACATTCCTTTTATACATATACTAATGCTGTTTATTTCTTTCATTTACTCATTCTAATTGGTGTATACTAGTGTCATTGCGGTTTTGATTTGCACATACACACAGCCCATCCCAACTCCCACTGCCACCCTTCCAGAAAAGAATGCTCTTACTCTTTGAACTCACTATATAAAACAGTTCATGTGATTAGATTAGGACTATCTATATAATGTGCCTTAGATGTTCAATTTGTCATATGCCATAATACATGGTATCCCTTGCCAGATCCACAGAGATGAGGCAGTAGAGTGCAGGATCTTTTGGGCAGGAGGGCATTTTGAGAGTTCTGACTGTGGCACCTTTAGTTTCTCGTTTGCTTCTTTGCAATTTTCTGAATATTTTCTTTTTGTATTGGGGTTTTCGGTGTTGTAGAGATGGGTTAGCTTGTTTTGAGCGCTAGGGCTTATTTCAGAGTATGTGTGTCTCTAGAAGATCAGAGGGACTTACAGGTCTCTTACTCCCTCTTGTCTAAATCTTACTTTATTTTGGTGGGTCACTTTTTCTCCTCTCTGATTATATTGCCCGTTTTCATCCACTGCTGTAAAGTTTTACTTTGGTGGGCTTGTATAGATTTCTTATGTAGTAGTTACATGCCTGAGCTTAGTCTCTTTTTGTATTCTAGCTTTGCTGTCGTTAGCTAGTTGCCCCTACTCTGAACTAAAAATACTGTTTAGTTCCTTAGATTTTTGAGTATTTGTGGGGAAACATACTAACATAACCAGTGAAATAAATAGTACCGAGAATGAGTGTTTTGTTAGTCTTGCTCATTTCTAAATGTAAGAAATGGATCGAGTGGGCTGTCTTGGATAGATTAAATTCTCCTATAAAGCCACTTTGGAGATCAAATACTGATCTTTGGTAAAGTCATCTGTTACTAGAAGAATAGTTTGGGAGCTGTTTAAGATGTTTTCCTAATATAGCTACCTTAGACTTAGATGAGACTGATAAGTTTCCTGTTTCCTGGACAGATAAGACTGATTATTTCCTATTTCCTAGAAGCTTGACATACGTATTGCATACTATTATAGTTAAACTATAACCATTTGATGGAACTTTTCTTACTCTGTAAATATTTTGTTTCATTTATATTAAGATGGCATTTTTAATTTCAGAAGCTATTCCTTATTCTGTTTCAGCTGAAAATGGAATTTTTCTTAAACTGTAAGTTTAGTGTAATAATATTTTTTTATAATATGGCAGTTGGAACTCCAAAGGACTATGAGTTTGAATCCAACCGTACATAGCTAGGCTACATAGTGAGGTTCTGGGTGAGCACAAACAGAAAATGAAAGCGTACATTTCTAGGATAAATCTTACTTAGATATAGCATATTTTTTAAAATGATAATTGTGATTTTTTTTGAGTTATAAATTAACAACAAGGATGTGGTTTCATATGATAATATAAGTAAGTATAGCTTCTAATACATCATCACAACTAAATTTTAAAAATTGTGTCAATTGGTAAAAGGAGAAGCTATTTTCTAGGATATGCACTTGATTAAACATTTGAACAGATAAATTGTACAAAAACTTACAAATAATTGGGCTTTTTTTTTACTTCCAAGGTATTCTGTGTGTGGCTGATCAGTGTCATGGTTTACGAGAACTGGCCCTGAACTACCATTTGCTAAGTGATGAGTTGTTGCTTGCACTGTCTTCTGAAAAGCACGTTCGCTTAGAACATTTGCGCATTGATGTTGTCAGTGAGAACCCTGGACAGACACACTTCCACACTATTCAGAAGAGCAGCTGGGATGCCTTCATCAAACACTCACCCAAAGTCAACCTCGTGATGTATTTTTTTTTATACGAAGAGGAATTTGACCCATTCTTTCGTTATGAAATACCTGCCACTCATCTTTACTTTGGGAGATCAGTAAGCAAAGATGTGCTTGGCCGTGTGGGCATGACCTGTCCGAGACTAGTAGAACTGGTAGTGTGTGCAAATGGTTTACGGCCCCTGGATGAAGAGTTAATTCGCATTGCAGAACGTTGCAAAAATTTGTCAGCAATTGGGCTGGGGGAATGTGAAGTCTCATGTAGTGCCTTTGTTGAGTTTGTGAAGATGTGTGGAGGCCGCCTGTCTCAGTTATCCATTATGGAAGAAGTGTTAATTCCTGACCAAAAGTATAGTTTGGAACAGATCCATTGGGAAGTGTCTAAGCACCTTGGCAGGGTTTGGTTTCCAGACATGATGCCTACTTGGTAACAGTTGCATGATGTAGGGCGTGATGAGTAAACAGCACCTTAATTTTAAGAGAATGTGTTATAATAAAAGTTTATTTGCTCTAGATCTGATGTAATTATACTATTTTGTGTCTCAGAAATTTGCTGTCTTCGGTGAGCTTATATAATGAATGAAATTTGTCAGAAGACCTACAGTTTGGGTTAGGTAACTTCTTTTTGTAGCCTAATAGTAATAACTGTTTTAAAAGAAAATGTGGTTTCATATTTGAAAGTAATATCCAGTTATGAAAAGGAGACAATTTATAGTCTGAAGGAAGCAACCTGTATATTCTAATATCTAAGAAGTGTACTAATAGGTTTTATGAAATGTTCTCTATGCATTTTTTAAAAAAAATGTAAACTTGACATTTTAGGGTCTTCAGTTATAAATACACCTGTTATAAGGTGTGTAATATAGCTCAGGAAAGTGAGCATTTTGTGAGAGAAATGTATGATATAGCTCATAAGAGGCTAGTTAAATGTTTTCAAATGTTACGAAGCTGTTTTAAAAATAAAGATATAAATGTCAGAGGACTTAAAACACTGATAAATGTTACAGTGGTTATTAAGGATGGCACACAGAGCCAGGATCAAAGCTAAAGAAATCAGTGGACTAGAAGAGAGGTAGTAGCTCTGTATACACTTTAGGTTTCCTGTGTAATATGCTAAACCATGTAAGTTCTTTTTTGTTATATTATTCACTGTTGTGGCGCCTGAGGCATTGTAAAGGAATGCTTTAATCTTTTTTTTAATCTTTATTTAAACTAGTTTTGAACTATTACACAGTAATAAATGAAAAATTTACTTAAAAACTAAATTGAAATAATTAAAAGTAGAACTTTATATAAGTTGTTTATGAAGTTTCATGAAAGAATATTAGTCTCCAGTGAACTTTAGTGATGGCTCATGCTTTTAAGTTTGGAATTACAAAGCTATGACAGATACAACTTAAAAAAATCAAAAGGAGTATCTGTACAGTTCAGAAACACTAAATTTAAAAGAAGATATAGATATATAAGTTCATAATTGAGTAAATACTACTTCATGAACTGGAACATTTTAACAGAAAAATATCTGCAGTTTTGTGATAATTTGGTTGAAACTGGTATTTTATATTATTTATGTAGCTTTTCCTATTACGTTCCTATGAATAAAGGTAAATCAGTGTAAAGAATGCTAAGTTTTGGTTACATAGTTTTGGATTGCTGGTTTTTGTTTGGTTTTAGATACTGAATGAGCTTGGATTCTGGGCACAAGTGCTAATAGACATCTCTCCTGAGGGAGAGTAGAAGAGACTTGCCCCAGCATCAGCACACTTCAGTGTCTGACGTGTCCTCCTCAGCAGCGTGACTTGTAGAAAGTACGCTGATAGCTACAGAAGCTAGCCTTCTGAGCCTAAAACAAATGTGGCTTTCTACACAATTCATGCTTTTCAAAAGTGATGGTATTCTTTCAGCCACATATGGACGATAAGGAAAAGACTGACCCAGAAACTCAACATTAAAGGCAACTATTTCCCTCTTACTAAATAGTAATCTTTGACTGTACAGGAACTACTTGTGCTAGTTGCGGTGTTTGTTTTTTTTTTTTTTTAATTTTTTGAACAACTTTGAAAAATGGATTTGATGGTATATAAGCAGTTTTAATAACCAAAGCTTTATTTGAAAACTTACTTTTTGTAATAAATTGAATTACATGCTTGAATACTTTAAGTCACTTTATAAGCAAAATGCATAGCACTTAATTTGTTTATACTGTAAAATATATGTTAAATGGTTTTATCAATTTGAGAATAAAGATAGTTACTAATGCTGTTGTATTTTTATAACTTAAGAGAACTAATCAAACATACAAAGCTATGACATTAGCTTCAGATCTATTAATTTGATAGTGTTTAAAACACGGTAGACTGGCTTATTTGAGTATACAAAATTAGGCACATCGGCTCTGTCCTGATGCTCTGATACCTATGAAATTTGCCATGAAATGTAAACTCTTTTATGATTAAAAATAAGGAATAGGTTCCTTATGTATTCTGAATAAAAGCTCTACTTAGAAATGTGACTCTCAGAGTCCAAGAGATGGCTCTGTGGTTAAAAGCTGGTGAATACTTTTGGCAGTTTTCAGCACTCACATCATGCCAGAATTATTTGTAACTCTGGTTCCTGGCGATCTGATGCCTCTGGCCTCCATAGGTACCTGCATTCATTTACATATACAGATACCCACACGTAATGAAAACGTAAAAATAAATGGCTTTTTAAAAAACTATTCTTAGGATTTTCTTTAGCCTTGTCTAACCAACCATAATACAAGTCTCTGTCAGAATAGTTTTAGACAATAGAAATTATTTATCTTAATTAGATTTCAGGAAACATCCAATTTGCTGTGGTAATCTAGGCTATCTTTTAAAAATAAGTCTTGCTAAACAGTAAGTAAGTTACTGCATTTTGTTTGTGCAAAGCTTATTTATATTTGAGGCCAGTTTTCTTGTTTGTTTGGTTTTTTTTCCTTTGTTGTTTTTAATGGGGTGGGGGTTGTTTCAAGACAGGGTTTCTCTGTGTAATAGTCCTGACTGTTCTGGAATTTGAGTTTTAGACCAATCTGGCATGCCTTTAATAGACAGAGGCAGGCAAATTGTTTTGAGTTCAAGGCCAGTCTGGTCAACAAAGCCAGTCCAGGATAGCCAAGGCTAAATGGAGAAACCCTGTCTGGGGGGAAAAAAAAAAGAAAAGAAAAAGAGACAAAACATTTTCTCAGAGAGTAAAAGCTTATTCTTAGAACTAATAATCAGCTCCCCAAAGTGTCAGTACCTAAATAGTTTGAACAAGGAAGAAACTCTTGGAAGACCATGAAGCTACCTGGACATTAAAAGGTGAGTAGAAGCGTGTCTGTTGGCCAGGTATGGTACAACAGACTAGAAAGCTATTTAGAAGGCTAAGCCAGGAGGATTGCCAAGTTCAAGGCCGGCTTGAGCTGTGACAGGCCAGCCTAGCAACCAAGACCTTATTTCAAAAAGTTAAAGGAATGTTGGAGGGAGATAATAGCTCAGTGATAAAATGCTTACCTTCCATGTATGAGAGTCCAGGCTCAACTCTCAGCGCCACCAAACACGTTTACACCTTAGAGAAACTGAAGAATGTATTCTTGAACAATTTCTTCTGTGTACGTAATACATTTTGGTCATTTTCACTCTCCATTACTCTGCCACTCTTGCCAAACCCCCTCTTCTTTCATGTCTTTTTCTTCTTTCTTAGGATCCACTGAGTTTAAGTAGAGATGCTTACATGAGCCATTTGGTTGTGGCAATACCACTGGAGAAAAATGAGCCTTCTTCCCCCAGCAAACAAACTCAGTTTATTATGGGTGTGGCCCTCCAAGCCCCGTCACTATCCATCTGCAGATAAAGGCAGATGCTGTGAGTAGCCATGTCCTGCCCAGATGGCAGCATTTCCTAGTGCCCCTTGCCACCCTCTAGCTCTTCCCTAACGTTTACCCGCCCTTGAAGGAAGTGATGATCGATGTTGTGTTAGGGCTGAGCGCTAAATCATTAACTCGCAGCACTCTGACACATACTAGAGTCTTGAATTTCTTTCTGATTTTTCTAAGGAGCTATTATTGATTAGAGGTTCTGAGTATTGATGGTAGTTTTTCACCCTTTAGCTGTTCTCTTCTATCTACAACAGTAGATACTTACCTGATAATGAGCCAGATTAATGGGTGATGATGTTTATTCTGAAGCCCTAATATTCAGTCTTTAACAAAAAGGTTCTCTTAAATACTACACATTTATAATTTGAACTAACATAGAAATAACACATAACTCAGATGACAAAATTTGTAGATCCCTGGTTTTTTTAAAAAAATATATATAATGTATTTATTTTATATATATAAATATATATAAACATATATTTATATATAAGTGATATATATAAATGTATTTATATATCAGTGCTCTGTTTTCATGCATACCAGAAGTAATCATCTCATAGGTGGTTGTGAGCCTCCATGTGGCTGCTGGGAATTGAACTCAGGACCTCTGGAAGAGCAGCCATTGCTCTTAACCACTGAGCCATCTCTCCAGTCCCTTGTACATCCCTGTTTTTGACGAGAGCAAGAGATAGAAACTGGCCAGGCAGCTTAGGGCAGGGTCCCCAGAAGTAAAGGTTTTTCTTGGTTTAAAATCTGGGCCTGTACTTGGTACTCTGCACAGTCCATCCTTGTCAAAGCCTTGTCTGCCTTGTCAGAGATGGCAGAAGGAAGGCCCATCTCTCTCCCTGTGAGCATGCCTGTCTGGAGTCCATAGAGCAGCCCTGGACCATCTCAAGGTTGAGCCAGCTGTCTGGCTCACCCACTCCCCATGCTCCAGTTTCTGCTTTAAATCCAATAACCGCCACCCCCCCCACCCCCCCATCCTTTAGATTAGCACTCCATGTTTCCCATTTCCCAGAATCTACTCTGCTACATGGGAACTCTGCTTCCTAAGCTCCCACCTATGAATCTATAATAAAATTACTTTCTAAACCCATCCATGCCTATGAAATGCATTCTCTGGATTTACATACAAGAATCTGGAGACCTCTGACTAGGTAGAAATTTTCTGTGACCTTCAGGCACCTGGAGCACACTTGAAGCAGTACAGAAAGCCTTCTTTAAAGTCAAGAGACACTCCATTTTGACTTCCAAGCTACTATTTGAAAGGTGTTCTGAATCTTCTCTACCTCAAAGTTGTCTTTGACCTTACAAACCCTTTCACAGCTTGATACTCTTGGGAAATAGCGTGACTTAGGCCTCTTTGCCATCACCACCTGACTAGTGCTTTCACAAGCTTTCTTCATTTACTAGTATTCTCCACAAAGACCCAGAATGCTTTTTTTACACAGTCGAATATTGTTTTAGAAGTCAAGTTCCTCTCTGCTCGGATGTGACCCGTGATAGCTCAGTAATCAATTGGTTTCCCATAGTGAGGGGAACAAGGACTATTTCTAACAGGAACTCAATGACTGGCTCTTTGACTTCCCCACCTCCCAAGGGAGGAGCAGTACTGTTAGGCCACAGAGGAGGACTTTGCAGCCAGTCCTGAAAATACCGGACAAAACAGAGTCATATGAAAGGGGAGGAGGTCCTCCCCTATCAGTGGACTTGGAAAGGGGCAAGGAGGAGATGAGGGAGGGAGGGTGGGACCGGGGAGGGAATGAGGGATACAGCTGGGATACAGCATTAACAAAATGTAACTAATGAGAAAAATAAAATTAAAAAAAAATAAATATAAATATCATTAAAAAAAAAAAAAAAAGTCAAGTTCCATGTTCACACCCCACCCCAGCCACCTTTGCTACAAACCAAAGTGACTTACTTGGTACACGAATCTGCTCTGTTTTTGGTCTTTGGGACACCACTCTCTGAAGACTGTCAGGTCAAGGAGGCTATATTGGTGGGCTGGCACAGGTGCTGATACTCTGAGTGGACAGACTAGAGGCAGTGGAGGAAGGCTCCCTCCGTGCAGGAGGACAAGTCTACCTCTTCAGGGTGGGCAGAACAGTGCAGACTGTCCAGTCATCTGGGGCCCCTTTGGCTTTTTGTTTAAACAACAGAAAGTAAATTCCTAGAGGAGTAAGATCAAAGATACAAAGTCCAAGCCCTGGTTTTTGTCTTTTTATTAGACAGGAACAACACAGACTGCTAACATTTAGTGTATAGATACTGGTCCAAAGGCCACAATCTGAACAGTGCTGAGAAGCATCCAGTGCATCTGTTCATTCAGCATGATCTGAGTGAAACGCAATTCCAGGTCACTTAGCCTTGCTAAGCCCTGACTTACACATCTGGGCCAGTGGATATGTAAGATGAGGCTTTTTGTGACAGCTCAACAATAGTGTAATAACCTCTCAAGAGGCACTCAACTGCTGGGTGGAAATGAGTAACTGGCACATTGCTGTATCAAGCAGATTGTTCTTTGCATTATTGTGCTAGTGTTGAATGGGGGAAAAAACACAACACAAAACCAAACAAAAATAAGTTCAATTGATCAAAATACAGGACCTTGGGAGCCTGTCTAATGCTACTGACAGCAGCAACATAGTGAACTGAAGGTCCTTGACAAAATCCTAGCCTTTCCAGGAAAGTGAACCCTCTCTCACTGTGCTAGCTTTGATGGTGGACAAACAACTGGAGGGCACACACAGGAAGCCAGACGTACACCTCACGGAGCTGTGTCTGCAGCCTGTACTGAACAACTGCTGGAGGAGAGTGTCCTATCAGCTTACAGTCTCCGTGACCACAGGACCCAGGAATGGAATCTAGGCAAATTCAAGGATGACTGTTTACAGTGTTCTTTTGATCCCAATAGTCCTGAGACCATATATACATTCAGTGTGCCACCAATCTTCTCATTCGTGGAAGATGAATCATTTTAGAGATAAGAACACAAATCATTTTAGAGATAAGCTTCTAGGCGAATGGCCAGTTCGTTGCTAGACAATTCTAAAATGGTGGCCAGAAATTCTACTGTATTTACCATGTCCAAAAGCAGCCCAAACAAGACTTTAAGGTCATATGAATAGAAAATAGTCAGACCTGGGTCCCAGAAGTTGTAATAACTATAAAAACAGCTATTATTTCAATGTCTAAAAAGCCCTTAAACTAAGAAACAGTGGTACTGTAACAGAAAAGGTAGCCCTAGAAAAGTGGCAACCCAGGATCAAAGAATCTCCGCATCTGAGATCAAGTAATTCTCAGGAAAATCAAGACCACAGCACCTTCACTTTGGCCAGTTCATTTACGGCTTCTGCTTCTTTCCAAGAGTC